AATAATAATTTTTTATTTTTTTTTTTTTTTTTTTTTTTTTTTTGGGGGGGGGGGGGGGGGGGCGCCCCCCAAAAAAAAAAAACACGGGTGGGATTCGAACCCACGCTTTTGTACAAAAAAATACGTATTTTGACTTTTTTCTCGAAAGTGGGGAATCTGGTAAGACCCGTTGTTTTGGGAGGATGCACCCAATAAAAACGCCCCAGAGCTGCGCACGGACGAACTTCCTATTTCGCAAAATGGCCAGGCAAAAAGATCGTCTGACAATATCCCTCGTAAACTCGGGCATATCTTAGTAATAATGGACAACTATGTTAACTGCTAAATCGAGCCTCGGCAAGTGTCAGCCCGCTGTTAAATGGCTTTCACCGGCATATACGGGCTTACATACGAGTCGCCGGCTTATTTAAGATGTAAGCCTCAAGAAAAAGAACGGGGTACTTTACTAAACTTACGCCACCTGTTCTCTAGAATATATCATCATGAAGTATCGTTGAAAATTTTTACCCCTTTGCCTTATATGCATAGGTCATATTAAGTACCTACCTACCTTAGGCACCTAATGTTACTACTGCCGGATAACGTGCCAGCGTGCCGGATCTGCTAGTCGAATATCAGGAACCCGTGACATCTGTTCCCGTCGTACCTATATACCGAAACAGATGCCAAGCCTCAGGGAAGGAGGCCTACTACCTTGGCGATAAGAAGTATGGAGTATGGACCAGGAATCGGCGGCAGAGCCAGTTCGGTGTAACATGATAGGTACCTTGGGTAGTTATGTTATATATGATATTTTCATTTCACATGTGATGGGAAAGACTTATAACTTATAACTAGGGATATATGTACAAGGACATTTATTCTATGGTATGTAAGAAGTGGGTGTAGGAGAATTGCTATATGCACGGTATTAAGCGCCTCAGGTAGGCATAACCGTTTTAATAACTTAGGTAGGTATGACATTCTTAAGCCGGACGAAAGGGTAACGCGTAATTAGTATGGTTGCGTTTATACCCAAGTGACAATCGTCCTTCATCTATAAACATGGTGGAGGGTTCTCAAAGATTTTGCTACAAGTTAGTAGTAGCTGAGAAAGGTCTTCGGCGCCCATGTTTCATCATGGAGCCTCCTCTATCTGAAAGAAGATGCGAAAAGTCGATCAATGATAATCCAATACGACGAAAAGACGGACCGGGATGCGCGCCAAAGGTGCAAGAGATCCGTAAACGCCTTACCCCCGCTATGCAATTGTATACTGAGTCAGGAAATCCTTTGCCGACCCATTCTCGGAGGTCAAGTAGTGAATGTCAAATATTGCGTAGAACGGGCTGATGTCAGTTATCGTCGTCGTCGCTAGCGCCGTCATCCTCGCCGTCTTCATCGAACTCTGCTAATTCCGCGTCATCGCCTGTGTCACTACCTCCGAAATCAAGTTCTTCGTCACTTTCGTCCCAAAATGCAGCATCGTCGTCTACCGGCTTCGGTGGCGGCGGAGGTTCGAGGCTGGTTGGCATCACGAAGTCGCTCGGAATATCGCTCTTGGACTTCTCGACAATTTCCCTGGCTTTCTTGTTGTAGGTGGCGCGATCGTCCCGGTACGTTACGCTGGCGTCTACATTTGCCGGGGAGTTGATTTCGGGATCGTCTAAAAGTAGGAGAACGGACCGGAGCACAGACTCAACACCTTGTAAAGGAGACCATCGCTCGCTAGCCTGCTCCCCAGACATGATGTCTTCGCCGGGAGTGTGTAGAATGGAGATACACAGTTTGCCGTCGGGGTAGATGTTGGGATGATAGATGGGGATTAGGAATCTAAATGTCGGCGGCTGGTAGGGATACTCTTCAGTGAAGGTCATCTCGGCCTATTGAACATTATTATGTTAGCGCTGATCTTAGTCGAGAATGATACTCTAATTTGTTACTTACCTTAAAGTAGCCCCCGTTAAATGCGCTATCGGGATTAACAACAATAAGACCAAGGCGCCAACGTAGGATATTGGCATTCACCAACTACAAGTATACAGAGTCAGCGATATGGTTAGGGGATGGGGAAGGGGAAGGGGGTTACAGCACTTACATCGATGTTCACCCATTTCTCTTTCGAGAGCTCTTGCATCTCGGACATCAGCCGGTGCTTAGCACCGCCAGCGAGTCTTGACGACGACATGGCGAAGTGTAGATTTGAGGTTGTGGTATAGATAAGGAGGGTATCGCGAGTCCGGTGCGACAGGAGGATATAACTCGCGTGCCCCGGAGTAGAAGTCGGAGAAGTCTTATCAATCAAAACGCCAACAGGCTGATGACTTCCAATAAAAGGTAAAAATGCAAGTTAAAAGAGAGACTTGGGAACGTAGAACAACGCTGGATTATGCGATGCCTCGTGCCGGATGAACGAAGTGACTAGTGACTAGAAACACAACGGAAGAGCCGTAAAAATCGTGAGAAGTGCTATTGAATTTGGAACTGTTCTGCCCGATATGGTTAGGTAGTAAAGAGTTGTTGAATGGTATTTGAGAACTGGACTGGGTGGGATTGAATGTGACTGACGGAGACTGGGAGACTGTCGGATTCGGATTGTGCTATCTTAAAGTCTTGTATCGTAACCGCGAATCCTCGGCGCCTGACTCGTCCCTTAAATGGATCCCCACCAATGAGGTAATCACACCTTGACGGGTAGGTCTTGACTACAGTACAAGAATAGACCCGAATAAGCGGGGACAAGGGGAGGAGATGTACGGGCAGGTATGTACTGTACTCCCGAACTCGGTACGTTAGATACCTAGGTACATGTACCTAACATGCATATATGTACGGAATACGGAATATGTAGATCTGTAAATCCAATATGAAGACCAAAACTTTCAGATCTTATTAATTGGCATTGGCAATTATGTAGTAATTTATTATGTCCTACTGTTAGTTGACTGATAAGAATGGGTTAATTTGTAATAAACCGGAACTTTGTCCTAATATCATAATATTAAAAAGAGTGTTGTCATCTGCCTTTATCATATAGCATACCTTATTTTTTGCTTAAAGCTTCTGTTTTGTCTACCTATGTATTGTATCAATTACAATCAATTACAAACATTCCCCATCCCTGTGGCCTTTGTGACCGTTACCAACTGGCTCGACCCAATACCTCTCACGTGCTAGGGAGACCAATACCCGTTTGGGTTTGTAAGATTGAAGAATTTCCTAAGTTAAGCTTATGTTAACTGCCTTGACTGCCTTGACTGGGGTTGGCGTAATGAACTTCCGGATCCGCCCATGCTTCCTATGTCGGGTTTCTATAGATTGATATTGAGAATACCGTTCGGACTCTATCAGGTGGAGTGTCTAGGGTGATTAAGCCCCCGTTGTTTGATATCTCCTTTAAGATCTACTTCCAGGGGCATCTTATTATCGGGAAGCACCCGCGGATGATTGACAAGGGAAAATATAAGCCCACCTGAGGCATTGGTGTGTAAGACACATTAAAATTTGATAGGGCACATAATGAACTCCATACCTTTGTATGTACCCACCCAACAGCCGGTAAATATAAGATGTTTCTAACTTAAGTTCCGTTAATAGCAAATGAGCTAAGAGCCTCATCTAACGGCCGACGGGTTTCTATTTATCTTAGTTATATTATCTAGGCAAGGCAAGGTAAGGTAATGCGTATATGCAGGGCAGTAAACAATTTTATCGTGCAACAATATCAATATAAGTTGATGTATTTATTAGGTACCTATGAATAAGGTACCTTACATGTACGTATTTAAAGACATTGGTCACTGGTGGTGTGTAGTACAAACATGACCCGGTGTTTAGGTAGGAATTATGTAACCTTAGGTACCTAACCTAATGTACATACTGTAGGTGAGTCGGTAGGGGTAAGTTTAGGCTTAGGGCGGTTAGGGGTGTATTTAGATAAAAGCGGAGACTTTTAGCAGAACAGGCGAGTTGCCCCAGTCGCAAGGCACCACCTGCACTTCATTCTCCCCCCGTCCGCCCGTTTTGCTCGTCACCATTGCAACAACTTCACCTTGCGTCCTTTCACCCAAAGACCCGTCAACTTTGTCTTCCGCAATCGACAACTACCACGACGAGGCATCGCGATATCTCCCATCGGCACTCGAGCTGCTTCGATATTGCTAGGAACATCATTTTTAATTCACCGATACGACGTTGTAGAAGGGTTAAGTCGGTGAATGCTGGTAGACTCGGGTATCTTCGACCACAACAGCCGGTCGGCGGTTTCGCGCGACTCGCCACGGTGAGATCGATCGACTTTTATCATTCCACTCCTCAACACCGTCCTATCGTCAATCGTCCATCGTTCATCGGGCGCATCAGAACAAGTTAATCGGTCTACCGTATTCAACGTTTTTTCAGCCTTTCCGACTTCTCGTTACGCTCCTTCTCCACATTCTCACCTTGTCAGCATTCCAACATCGATTTTTGCCGGCATTCTCTAGGGATTTCTCACGACTTCTCCACCTTCGAATAGCGCCGCGCAACGTAACTGTCAATCGTTCTCGCCTACTTTCTCGATGGCGACCATGTTATTCAATCCTCAAACGCCCCAGAGTCCCTCTCAATTTTCCCCGACCACAGGTGACCAGGTATCGAGCATGAACAGCTCTATGACCTCTATCACCACAGCTCTGCCGACGGTAAATTTTTTTAAAGTTTATAATTATCTCGAGCACCTAATACTTAAGAAAAGAATTTCTCATTTCGTTTCTTTCGTTCAAGTTATTATGGAACATTCATTAACTTTCCCACCATCATAGCCGGCACATAGCGTGAACGGATCTGCCCAGCCAACCGACATGTCTCACGATACTGCGGTGGCAGATGCCTATTCGGCCAAGCGAAAATATCCATTCGACGATACCGGAGATCATGAGCACAAGAAAGTCAACCTCGAGAATCGCCGAGTTGGTATTGAGAACCTGCACCTGGATGTTGGTGAAAAGTACCTCCTTTGCAGTACTCGTAAGGCTCCCTTTAGTCTCATACATGCTATGCACTCTACCATCTTTTCTTTCCTGGATTGATGGTAATTATCAAAGGCTACGCTTGAATGGGATTTGATACTTCTTGGTTGACACTATTTTTCGTATTTAGCTTACTCCACCTCGTACCCATGTCTATCGGACGATTTCTTTGAGATGTTCGGATTGACCGGCATCGCTGCTGAGGTCGCCCGTACAAAGCCCAACGGAGAGAAGAATGCGCTTCGCAAGACGTATAAAGGTCAAATAAAGACTCTAGGACTAAGCGGCCATTTTGACGCGGTGAAGAAAGAGCTCGAAGCCCCCGATGGCCTATTGGCATTGGCTGGGCTTGACGAAGATGCATGGTTCAGTAGGGAAGTAAGCGGGAAGGAGATTGAGAAAGGATTGTCGCAAACGCACCAGGCGCATCTATCTCGAGCAGCAACGATGGCCAAAGGTTCCATACCCAAGGCGGCCTGGGATAGCTCTGTCCTCGGTGACTTAGCGCCTAGTATTTTGCCAAAGAAAGCTGGTCTCGAGTCGGCCACGAGACAGACGGCACCCAGCACTCCGGCTGCCTCAGCCCCTGGTATCACTCCGAAGTCGAACAAGCCGTTGACGCCGCAGATTGATCGTGCTCGTCGGATTGGAAAAAAGCGAAGCTACCAAGACAGCAGCTTTGAAGGATACGGTGAAGGCTATGTCGATGACGATACAGGCGGATATTCAACTGGTGATGCAGATGAACGGTCGAAGCTCAAGAGGAGAAAGCAGGTACATGCAGACCGTCCGTCTTCTGCAAGTCTCTTTGCTGACCGATGACAGAACCCTGGGGAAATGTCTTCGTTCAGAAGCGCCAGTAGCCAAAACTACAGCGGCAAGATTGGGACGTGACCTTGAGATACCCAGTTAAAGACGAGATATGACAGTTTTGTGCATCTGCAGCGTTGAACAGGTTCGAGACTTGGGTTGGACCCAAAATTTCACGCAGACCGTTACGGTTATTTGCATTTCCATGATTTTAGCATGGCGTAAGGCGTTCGGACGAGGGGAAATAAAGCAACAGGCAGTAGGCAACATAGGCATATGTGCTCATACGATGAATTCGGATGGCAGGCGGCTTAGTTTGGCTTGTCGTATATACTGTTTGGAGACAAAATTAAACCACCTCGGCTAGAGTTATGGGGTTCAACTGCATTGGTGCAATGATGATCAACGTTGTGAACAGGACGCGTACACTTGGCGAGTTTCTACTCCGGGTGCCTAGTTCTACATGCGGTTAAGATCGAATAGCATATCAGTTGTAACCATCTCTCACCCCTGGGCCCGATTTACTCGTGAGTATTTTCAGGTTTAGGTTGAAGCTAGGTGTGTTTTGTACACAGAAAAGGGCACGATGTTTTTATAACCCATTTGCATTTGAGAGAGCGCAGCGTCGCCAAATTGATGCGGTGCTGATACCTCTTTGAGACGGGGACCTAGTCAGGGGATTGCGGGATTGCTAGTTTAAGCTTGATTACAAGTTTATACGACTTGAGGATTTAGTTATGAAGTCATAGGTTCCTCTTCTGAGGGCGAGCCTGATGGAAAGCAACCATTCATCCTGTCCGTAGGGACCCCGAACCGGCCGTTTGGCTCGGGTGGTGATAGTTAAATAAGATTTGACTTGGCATCAGAATATCCAAGATGCCATATTACCCATCTTAGTTGCTTCTACTTGTTTTCTGTGCTCTTCTCGTACTACACACATACGTAATTACCTAGGCGTTTATAGTCGAGGCCTCCAAATGTATAAACTTATATGAAGTACAATGTACTTAACATTAAGTATGTGCTGCGCGAATAGGCAGAGCGGGTCGATACGGCAGGGGTACACTATATGTATGTACCTAAGGTAGTGCAAGCCCCGCACTGCGGTCTGTTAAGTACAGTTGTATTCGTATTTCGCATTTCGCATTGGAACTCACCTGCAGCTTGGAACTTCAAAATCACTGCGGCTTCACTTATCATCTACTCTACCACTTCACTACTACAATCATAACTACCTACGATTATAACAATTACAACAACTACATCCCACTACCTCTGATGAGGTTTAATCCGCATATATCTATTTCGTCTTGCTTGTACTTTTTTACCCTACAAGTTCCTCGTACTATTCTCGCTCTTCATCATCTAGAACCTGGCATATCCAATCCAGTTCTGCTAAATATGCCGCCAAACACCAACACACCTCGGTAGACCCCAGCTTACGTCACCGGCCCTCTGAGCCTCCTTGGTCTGAATAGGGGCATATATTATTTCTAAGAGGGCTTCTCACATTTGACTTCTTGCTCTCACGTCATCGTCGCCATGGATCGTATGTTTCCGGACAATGTGTCCTTATATGATGACCCGCGATCCTCTTCCACACAGTCTTTGCTTCCTTCTCCGTTCGAAAACGAGGATTCAGGACGCCGGAAACTACTCGTCATCTATATCCATGGTTTTATGGGCAACGATGCCTCTTTTCAATCCTTTCCCGCTCATGTGCACAAGTACCTTAAACTCGCCTTATCCGAGACCCATACTGTTCATTCCAAGATCTACCCAAGATATAAAACTTATAAGGCTCTTGATGTAGCCCGCGATAACTTCAGCAGATGGTTGGCCCCGCATGAATCTCCCACCACCGACGTGATTCTTGTCGGTCATTCTATGGGAGGATTATTGGCCGCCGATATTGCTCTGATGGTAAGTTACCTAGTTTATCTACTTAAGGTATATTATCTTGTTAGCTTACAACTTGTACTAGCCATCTAGAAACCAAGACCAAATGGGGTACTTTCTTCATCGCATCATAGGGACAGTTAATCTAGATGCGCCCTTCCTCGGGTTGCATGCGAGTGTCGTTACAGCTGGTATTGCCAGTCTATTTCGGCCTAAATCGGACACACCAAACTTGCCCGAGGCGCCAATACCAGAGGATGAATCGGTCCTGTCCTTATCTAATATCACCTCAGCAAACACTTCGATATACTCGGATCCATCCAGCGCTTCTCAGTCCCCGAGGCCACAAGGGATCCCGTATGGTATGACGTTCGATCCAAATTATAATCCATCGTTTGTCAACGATGTCCCTCTTCGGGATAGGGGCTGGTGGAGAAACGTTGTCCACTTCGTCGAGAAGCATAATTCGGAAGGTCTGATAGACGCCGTCAGCCATCACCTCGTGTCACATCTGGAGTTCGGAAGCTGTCTCATGGATCTAAATAACCTGAAGACTCGGTATGAGAATATTCGTAGATTGGAAGATGTAGACGATCTAAAAGATCATGGATTCCCTCACGTACCCCCACAAGTTCGCTTCATCCAATACTATACAGTGTGCCACGGATATCCTAAGAAGCCCAAGGACCCAGGCCCTAATAATAGCTCGGAAATCTCGGAGACCATATCGAATGCACGGTCAACTCCCTCGACACCGCAAATCTCAATTCAGAGTCACGATCATCCCCCAAGCCCGCAAGATCTGGATACTACCAACAGCAATGCTTTACTGCGGGATTCTTTCGATGGCAATTCCGAAAGCCCAGAATTGCAGTTACTTGATCCTGAACCAATGTCCGAAGAGCCTCAACCGATACCCGGAGCTGACGCATTTGAGGAGCCTCTAAAAGATACTAAGGGCAAGGTCTCAGAAAACGGTATATCGGTCAATCATGGTGATAGCGGTGATACGGAAGCACTTTCTCAGCAACCCCATAAGAATTCCTTGTCTCAACAGTCCTTAGATAACGACACAATCTCAACAACTGATCTTACCGATGCTGTAACATCCTTAAGTATTGGTCTTCCTACAATACCAGAACTTCCTATGAGACCCGAACCGCCGGATTTTGGCCAGTATACAGATAAAGATGTGCGGAAACAAGCCGAGAAGGAAGCCAAGCGGGTGCAGAAAGACTACGATAGGCTCGTAAAGGACCGTGAAAAGGCTATCAGGGAACGGCAGAAAATCTACGACAAAAGGAAGAAGAAGTTAGCGCAAGAGACGGAGAAAAAAGTGAAGGAAGAACAGAAACGGCGCAAGAAAGAAGCAGCCGCCATTGCTGCGTCGAGCTCCTCAAATTCGGACGACGGACCTCTTAGAAACACTTCTTCCACAGTCGCGCAATCAGAAGATCCCGATATGGCGTCGCCTCTAGCTAGTCCCTCGGCACAGTCCCGGGGTACGGCCAAGTCTCCAAAACCACCGAAAGAGCGTAAATTTTGCAACATTCCAAAGGTAGACGGCGAGGTCGACCCGAAGTGGGTCAAGATCTTCATAAAAGACATGGACCAAGTCGCCGCGCACACGAGTCTATTCTTCAGAGGCGACCACTACGAGAAACTTGTTGGCGACGTCGGCCAGACCGTCGTAAACTGGGTCCAGGATGACATGACGAAGAGGGCTATTTTGGAGATGCAATAGGAGAGCAGAAACCTAGAACGTTGGTTTCGTCGCGGCTCCAGATCAATAGCATATGGAAGGGCACTTTATGTTATGTTGTATAATTAATATTGTAATGATACCCAAGAGGAAGCAGGTAATAAGTAAAGCATCATTATGGTTATAAACGGGTTGGATTATGAAAGCATTCAATTAGATTATTTATTACCTAGTCGAAATTCATATACGACTTGCTATACCTGTCTAGATGCGATGGCGCTGGAGTGCGCGGAAATGCCGAGGTCCCCCCAATCATTATTATTTCCGTATTGCTATTTCCCAACTTGCCATCTTCCTCGTTAGAATGTAACTCGTGCATACGATACGCCCTATTCCCGTCGCGAGTAATCCGCCGTGTCCCCCGCCAGCTCAGCTCGGAATCGACCGTAGAGCCCAGCAGGCGCGGGAACGCACGGGCGAGCATCGGACGCAGCGTGGGCAGACACGCACAGATAATACCCAAGTCGAGCTCGACGCCGGACCAGATTCCCAGCGGAAGACCGCTAACAGACGGGTCCTCTGTGCGGCGCACATGCTGCAGAGTGACGAGCCGCATGATAGAGGCGATGCAGACGACCACGCCGACGGTGAAAACGGCAGTGAGCGCGGCGCGCTGCTTCGGCGGGATGTGTAGCTTGCGGAACAGGGGCATGGGGATGGCGAGGACGGCTAGGTCGATGGCCGTATTTAGGATCGAAGTGGCGAACATGAAGAGCGGGAGGTCCATGCAGTGTCGTCGGGGGTCACGCGAGTCCGGGCCGGGCGGCGGCGCCCAGGACAGGGAGACGGGCACGCAGGCGAATACGCCGCCGAGGAAGAGCGCTAGGCCGAGTATGGAGATTACGCATAGTAAGGCGTAGCAGAGCAGTTTGAACCGCTTGCCCGACCAGATGCGAAGGTAGGATGTCACGATGGACGTTTTGACTAGGGAGGATGAGAGGCCCCAGAGGGGTGGCGAGATCCAGAGTGTCTGAGAATGGCTGTTAGTTAGATGATACATACATACATATCTCCCCCGACTTTAATTCTAGGAATATAAGTATGTAGTAATAAACTAGTTTAGAAGACTTGCCTTCAACGCTACATCTCGCTCTTCGGGAGTCATGCTTGGTAAAGGGTTACCGAAGCCTACTACTATCCCTACGACGTAGTCTTGTCAACTAATAGTTCATCAAGGCCACCAGTATCGAACCTAGGTACTTACCAGCCATATTCGCCAAGTACGTTCCAAACGAGCATAACTATATAAAAAAAAAATATTCAGCACGGCCGCCGCTAAGTAGGGCAGTTGGGGGTAATCGAGAACTTACTACCGCACCAAGGCATAGCCAATCGTCAACTCCCGGATTCCTTAACAAAGTCACACGAACGTGGAGTCGTAAGCCAACAGCCAGAAACGCAAGGGCTAAGAAAGGCGTGACGACGCCGATTAGGGGTACAGCTTTCTCAGAGAGAGGCATCTGTTCCGTGTGTCGAAAAAAAAAAACATTAACAGGTAATTAGCATAAGAATATGAAGTCTCGACCAGGAGAAGTTTGACCGTCCACAGCAGGTAGGTAATTATATGCCAACAACTGAGAATCTAATTATATCAAATCTCCTGAAAGCCACAGATATGTAACATAACATATGTTACAAGCAGGGTGAGACGGCCCTGTCCATTTTAGCAGATACAGCAGGCTCATACGGCATTGTAGCTTGTGTTCAGGGATATAGGATGAGCCAAGAGACGTCTGCGATTCAACAAAGTTGTAATGGGGGGGGATCTCGAGTCTTGTATGACTTGCAGGTTTATACGTGTTTTGCTTAGGGCTTACTGTGATTTCGAAACATAACGACGATTCGGGTCCGAGATCCACGCGGTGCCTTTGGTTCGCTGCAGAGGGTGAGATTCCTTACCACCAAAAAAAAGTTCATTAGGAATCGTTTCAATTCCGAATCGAAGACATTTCGGCCCCTTATTCCGAAACAAGAACTGCTGGTCTGAACTCAAGTGATTGAGTGCCTAGTAGATGTCACAGAACCATAGTTGCTAGGAACGGGCCGATGCCCGTCACCCCATATACCTTAGGTACCTTTTAAGGGTAGGCGAGATAGAATTCTACGTATAATCCTTCAGTCGCACAACCCCGGAAGTGCCTGCAAGACATCAGACCAACATGATGACACTAGGAGCTATACCTAAAGTTAGCACTTGGCCTCATCCATAGCGCTTTTCTCGGAGACTATTGATGTGCATATGATTCGGCGACCAGATTAGATATCAGAACATCGATGACCTTTCCTCTCCTGCATGATCCCCCGCGGCTACGAAGTCCGAGCACGATCAGTTTCCTCTCAACCGATATTCATAAGTCGCTGGTTCCTTATTCTAGTTGAGGATGAACAGCAAAGAGGAACTAGAGTACGTTATTTAGAGACAGGGTGAAGAGGCACAAAGTTAAAGCAGACCCCTTTCTAGTCTCGATCTCTTTGGTTTTGAAATAGCGAGAAGCTATCAACCGCAACTTAGGGCCACTCACAAAAACCTACATATAAGGCGAGAGAAACTTACTCTATCGAGGGCATACTAAGAGTTTTAATATGGTAATAAGACCAATGTGGTAACGAGAACAACCGTAAACTTTTCTGCTAACTTTTCCGCTAAGTACGGGGCAGTTACTTGAATAAACAATATACGCGATAGATATAACAGATATACCTACCTATCAGCGCTCAACTCCCAGAAGAATTCGGCTGAGTGCCTCCTATGTAAGGCCAAGCACGGTCACGACCGGGAGGAATTTCAGGTTCGGATTTGGCGGAGGAAAGCCCAACAGAAGTAATGAGCTTCAAGTGCCGAGCATAAGAATCGTTAAGAAAGCGTCTCAATATCGATTATAATGCTAAGATTGAAAACAGTACAGGGTACAATAGCAAGGCTCTTAGCCCATGAGGTAGCTATTGACACTCTGTAAGGTTGCTCTGCTTGGATTTGCTTCAGGGAAGGCTGTCATGATACGGCTGAGCCTGATCCTGATATCGCTCTTGGTATGACCAGAAGGTTGTACGTCGGGTTTGAGGTTGCCTTCGTTATCAAAATTTTGGCATAACAATGCAAGGGCTATCCCGACTGATAGGTCCTTACCAGTATCGCAAGCAATCAATATACGTCTTGGCTCCGAACGGTTCGCGCCTGGATCCTCTGAGGGAGGATTGGACTCTGGTTTTTGTTCCAAGAACTGACGCACGAAGTCGTTGATGTTGGGGAGGGCTAGACGAAGATTGCGACTAGCAATTTTGTGCTTACCTATACCAACTTCCATAAGCGATGGGCTCTTGACCCAGGTGCTTGGGTCTGTAGTCTTTGAGTAGATAGCAATTGTGCAGGTTGACGAAGAAGCTGGTGGGCCAGCAAGTGGTAAGCAGCCGACAAATAGAGACGGCGCAATTTCCCTAGGACCTGGCGCATTTATATCGACAGCTTGGTCTGAGACCAAGGAGCGCACCAGGTCAGGTAGATCTGCCTCCGGGGTAGACAATAGGATATCCGCATGGCGCCAAAAAACTGGCGGGGTTAATCCCAGGGCCCAGTTCTCGGTATCGTCACCAGCGCCCTGGATGTAGCCTCCTTCGCTCATCTCCCCGCCAAGAACTCTACGGGAACTAGTGCAACAAATGACGGGATGGAAGTCATCAAACACATGGTCCGTCGGGAGAAGCTGCGATTCCTGCGTAACCCACATGGGTCTCAGCGGCTTCTTTAGTTCCTGGCGTAAGGCATCCACGTTGATACTGAGTTCCTTAAGTGAAGCCACGTGCTCGGGGATCCTGGCTTCCATCTGGGCATGTTCAGACTGCGATACTGTATTTGGAGGAGTGTAGAGCTCATGAAATATTGGTGTTTCCGGAAACAAAACATGATTCAAAACACAGCACCAAATCGGCACTGTCTTACTGAGAGCATCGGGCATTCGTTTGCCTCTCCTCGTCGAGTCCACGATGACGCAGCCATCGTTTGCACCGATGATGCCCAATAAGTTGAGGTTAAGCCGTCGCGTACTAAATCTCCACTGACCCGTATGGCCATCCGTGCTTTTAAAATACGCAGACCCGGCTTTATTATCGGGAGTAATATACCAGCTACCGCAGCGCTCGTTAGCAATCAGCGGGCGGGCGAATGCAGCTGCTACCTCTGATACGAAATCTGCATCCTCCCGTATAGAGCGAAGACGGTTAGTGATAGAGAGGTTGGACCTTTTAAGATCGCTAAGTATGCGCGAGAAATTGTGATTTGCCTGCGGCGAGAAAACAAGCTCTGATGTAGCTGTAGCCATAAATATTGCTAGCAAGAGATAAATCACTTAGCTAAAGTGGCTATATGAAATACTTCGCAAAGGGGCATAAAAGAGTGATGCGCAATGAAGATGAATCAAGCAGAAGAGCCAACCAAGAAGTTCGTCTGTAGCATTAAAACAAGGGTTCAAAAGAGCGGGTCTAGTGCAGTGCAGATCTACAGAAGCTTACCTAAGGTAACGACTGCCACAAGATGTAACTGTCACATGTAAAAATTATTACCTATCGATAAGACAAAGGAGCCCAACCTAAAGTTACAGAGTTAACATTACACTAACCTACCTCTTGGAATAATTCTACGTACAAAAGGGTTGGCAGAGAAGTCAATTCCGCTGAATAATCTATCTATTCGCCTTCCCACCATAAGGTACATAGACACTCGATCGAATTAAGGGGTAGGTAAGGTACCCAACGCAGTCCTATAATCCCTATCGTGAAGTACACAGGGAAATTTGTGACATTAACATTCCCGCCTCGTCCGGCCCTTCGTCTAGGTACTTCGCTGCACATCTATTCAGCTCCCTCCCCTGATGCCGCCTCGCGTCATATCGGGACTTGTGCATTACTTCTAGCAGATGACGTCCGCCTTCACAAGGACCACGTAGTCGGCATCCTTCTTTAGTAGACATGGCGAGATCATCATGTCCACAATCGTCTTAGTTCCAAGGTGGCTTCTCACGTCCATAGTTGCCGCCTGATACGCGAATCCGCGCGTGCGATCGCTACCGGGCTGATCCGCCATCAAAGCCAAGTATCGCGAACGCGCTAGGATAGTGCTAAGTTCTGCTGCCGATGTGACAATCTCGGTCAGCGACTTCGTCAGGGCTTCCGTATCGATTCCGGTCGCAAATAGTGTAGTAGCCTCTAATATCTTCTTTGTCACGTCGCTCACGACGGCCGGGTCGGGTTCGCAAGCTTTGTTTAATAACTGCGCCGTGTGTATTCGCCAGGCTTCGAATTCCGCGTCCGACATCTTGGTCAAGAAAAAGCGCCCCAGTTTCGTAGCCACATCGCCGTATTCCTTGCCCCACACCCGACAGTATTTACTCAGTAAACACGTGTACAAATATCTCCAGATCAGTGCTCGGAAGATATAGCAAGTTAGGTCGCCGTTAGTCATGTAGGTCTTCCAGTGCTTCGATAGATGCTCAAACTCTACTTTTGACTTGTCCGGCACCAGCTTCGGCTGAATCGTCTCGTTGAATCTATCCAACGAAAGCGTTCGAATTTTGTCCCGTAGATTCTCCCAGCGCTCCATAACTTGATCGTCGGTAATATCGCGAGCATCTGCAGCATCAAAACTACCTCGTCGAACATGTAGTTGCTGCTGCAAGGATTCACAGAGTTTGGTCTTTTCCGTCAGCTCATTTGTGATAATTTCGAACTTAGACTCAATATCCTCCATTCGCGACCGGGTGATCACGACCGTCTCGTCATCCTCTTCCCGCGCGACCGGATTATTACCCACTGGTTCATCATCGAGGAGTGAATCTAACGAGACTCTCTTCGCGCGCTGTCCATTTCCCTTGCGGCGTAACAGCTTCTCACTTCCTTCAGAAGCTTCATTTGTCTGGCGCAATCGTCGGATTTCATCTTCGAGCTGTTGTAGCTTTGCTTCAAAGTTCTGCTTCTGCTGCGTCCAAGTATTCTGCGCTGCGGCATGATCGGCGCGTAGCTGCCTGACTTGGAGTATTTTGTCCGTGAGCGCGCCTTGCGTCTCGGCGAGCTGACTTCGTAAGGCCTCCATGGCGAAGGTTGGGTAAGGTAGGTAAACCTAATGATGATTTGTGGAAGATAATAATTCCGAAAGCGGGTTGTCTGGGGTTAAATTTTTTTTTTAATTTGATCCAATACCTATTACGTTGTTTTAATGCGATGCTCTGAGCTTTATTGGCGTGGACTCTGCGTGGTCGTTGTTGTGAAATATGTAAGTTTGTACTGTACGAGCAACTTTCAGAAGCGACCGGGAATTCCTTAGCTCCCGCCTTCCCACCTCATTAAAATATTCTGCAAACTCATTAGAAGAAACACTTTTAATTCTATATCTATCTAGTAATCAAAAGCTACACGTGGTATTCCCTCCATGTCTCCTCAAGCAATTAATCTGTAGAATACCTTGAGTGTGGGTGGAGGATTGAGACTTTTCGCACGCGCCCATAATTGTCCCGAATGGTCGAGATCGTCAAGTTGCCCCCTCCCCTTACAAAAAACCCAACTCTTGCCAGCGCGATGGGATGGGCATGTCCTACCCAGCTCCGCAATATCGCAACATTCTATTCTTATTTCTGCGAGTTATTTGCTTCCTCCTTTGCTTTCTTGAAAACAGTGCTTTCGAAGAGGTCAGTCTTGCGAAATTGTTGCCCTCTGCATTTTTCTGGGTCCATAGACCACACTCCCTTCTTGTAACAGACCGCCGCTCGCCGCACAATATTCACCCGCTCGGTCTTATATACGGGGTTTCTGATATACATCAATAAGCATGGAGAGATTATGAGGTCAACGACATCATCATCAACCAGAGCATGAGCTTCTACACGCATCCATCGGTTATCAAAGACTCGTGGGACGTCGTCAGGAATCGAAAGATCCTTTCTCATGAATTCGAATTGCCTATCCATCCGGTTCATTATCAGAGCCATCTCAATTGCTTCCTTGAAGATCGCATCAATGGCTGGCTTGATCTCGGTTTCAATCTCGCATTCCTTTTGCTTGATGAAGAACGGTTGAGTCAACTCCAGTAGTTCGTCTTTAAGTCCTTGGATCTTTGCTGCATTCATCGGGCAGTTGTAAAGTATTTGAGCCGTATATGATCGCCAGCGGTCAAGATCCTCGCTGCTGCCACCAACTTCGCCCGCTAATCAATGATTAGTCTCTCAGAGGAGATATTCCAACCATAGTCCAGAAATTATACTTACAATAAAATCTTCCCAGCCCCAACCCTAGCCCATCGTCCTCCCCCATAGCTTGAAAGGGTTCTCTAAGATCTCGGTGCAAACGAAATGCCATACGAATGCCCTAAAGAATAAAGGTGCATGTGCCTTTGATTGAAGAAATTCGCGAAACGGTTTTTTTGACACTTCTTTCGACACTTCTTCGAATTTCTTCTCAATATTCTCTGGTAGTGTTTTCGCTTCAAATGGGGAGACAAGATGTTCGTGGCCAAAATGTATAATGGCGTGATCTAAGCCTATAAAATGGTATTCCACGGTCGTGTCCCAACTCATAAATTTGATCGCTGCTTTCCCTAGCTGTTCTTCTAGGATTAATATTTCCACTTGTGCGTTTTCGAGTTTGCGCTTTATCAATTGTAGCTCGTTGTTGGTGGATTTAAGTTGGTCCTCTGTCGACTCAAGCTCGTTCTTTGCTGCTTTTAGTTGACACTGGAGCATTTCTTTGGTTAGCCTCGGCTTCTTTGCTGGTTGAAGATCTCCAGTTGAGTCGACATCTTGGTCAAACTTCCGCTTTATGCCCTCTGGGACTTCTGATTCGAAATCGAGACTTCTGTTCGTAAGCTTCGGCTTTTTGAGTAAATCAAGGTCCAGGGCTAATTCATCTGTTTGATGGCGCTTCCGTTTTTGAACATCTATTGTTCTGTCTTCTGGCTGAGAGCTTTTAACAGCGCGCATTGGTTTCTTCGCCATATTGACATCTTCGTTTGAGTCGTCTTTTTCACTATGCTTAATTTTCATACCATCATTTCCAATCATATTCCGAGGCTCCGGAAGTGATATGGTGATAAGCAAGGTAGAGGGCATTGTAGAATGCGACTCGGATGACATAGCAGTAGGCATACTAGGATGAATGGACCCAGCTACCTTGGATGACTCCATTGAAAATGATCCAGGAGATACGATTGTGGATGATATAGGCTATTAAACCTAAGGCGAATTCAAGTGGCTGATAAAAGAACGTAGTCGATACCTGGGTACCTAGTTTCCGTAGTTAGCAGAGAAGGGAAATGATGACTTTCCCTAGAAGGCTGTTTATGTCGTAAAAATGAGGTTGGAAGGTGAGACTGAAAGTTGTGTCGGTGCTTCTGATTGCTAGATCAAGTTTATGCTTTACGGGTTGAAGGCAGCAACACTTGTCACTTACTAAATAAGGTTCTCATCAACAAATTAGAACACTTAAATGTTTATTCGGCGTTGCTCTTCAGGTGGTTTGAAAAGGGAAGGCGCCATCAATACTTACGACATTCACGTGGTAGAGGATATTTACGCTACTTGAGGTAATTACCTAGGTAAATGTAGGCAGGTGCCAACTGGCCTGGGTAGCAACTTCCCATCTGAATATTTGCATGCAACATAGGCAGTAGTTACATGTAGGTAGGTACCCAGTAGCTTGTTCACGTATTTAACCCTGCTCGATTTCTCCAGTCTCATACAATTTCTATCTTCAAGGTCTCTCCTCTTTTCGAATACATACCTTAGGTACCATAGGTAAGTAAACAAGAGACAGTATCAAACCATCTCCTAATAATCTCTCTATCCTAGATACCTATGCTTCATTGAGATACAATCAATAAGTATCTAATATACCATCCCTAATTTCTTTATCTTCACCTTGGTTAAGTAGCCAGGAGATTCCAGGCTATTTTTCTTGATTTCTATTAGTCAATCAGGAAACCTTACAACGTATTGCATTCATCCACATCGCAACATTCGTCATGGAGTTATCCAGCCCGGCAGACCATTCCAACGATTGGCATACCGGAGGTTTTGTGATCGGAATTGACATGGGACCAACGTAAGCAATATCTCATCTCTAAACTTCTTTTATCTACTTATTCCTTTCTAGGTACTTTGTAGCTTCGTACAGCTTTCACAATGATGGAATTCCGAGTGCCCAGGTTGCCCCTTCAGTCATTTGTAAATGGCCTGGCCCTCTCCACTGCTGCATGGCAGATATAAAAACGCCATCAAAGATCTCGTACGATGCTAACGGGGGCATTTCTTGGGGACTGCATATTGAAGGCAAACAACACGTTATCTCATGGTTTGAGTTGCTCCTAGTGGACGATAACGACCTACAGCCAACTTTCCGGGATTTGGATTACATCCAAGAATCAAGACGTATCATCGGTGTCCTGGGCAAGAACCCTATCGAAATGGTTGGAGACTTCCTAGGAAAGGTCTTCGAACATATTGTCATGTGTATTGGCCAGGAAAAGGGCGAGGACTTTGTGAATGGCAAGCCTTTTCATGTCGTTATTACGGTACCGGCATTTTTAGGGGGAATCCAACTCGACAGAATGAAAGAGGCAATAGGGTTATCCGAAATCCTAAGTGCTCGCCCCAACCGGGTCCTAAAAACTACCTATAAGTTTGTTACGGAGCCAGAGGCGGCTACTGTAACTATAGCCCCCGAGTTGAACAGATGTGATATACTCATCCCCGGAGATTCATTCATCGTTGTAAACCTCGGGGGAGGAACTACTGTATGTGTATTGCAATTATTTCATGTCAAACGTTGGATACTAATTTGAGATAGGATTGCATAAGTTATGTGGTAGATGACACTGAGCGTTTCGAGCTCCGAGAGGTTGTCGAAGGCGATGGCGCCATTGGTGGAGCTGTACTCCTTTACCAATCATTTCGTATGGCAATCAAGAAAAAGATTATGGACGAAGAGTGTAGATCTTAGGATGATTTGCACTCCCTAGAGAAGGAAAAAATATTTAAAACCTGGGATCTTTTTCTCAGGGCAGGATTCACCACTGACTCGGTTGTGGCACTCTCTATCGACTTGGGCTTACGAAAAGGTCGACACGTCATATTGAACTTCACACGGTATGCGAACCATTATCACTAGGTACCTAAGTGATCTTTGCTTACCCATTGGAATGTAGCAATGAGATCTGCAGCATCTTCAAAATCGTGATGCCTACCATCGAAGCCCTGATTGAACATCAAGTCAATGTCATTCGGGAGAAGACTTTACGATCTCCAAAGGTATCATTACTTATTCCTTTGCCATTATTCTGTCTCGGAATTGCTGTCAATTTCACACTGGTGCACGGCTAACTGGAAGTGTAGCTTATCATATTATCTGGAGCGTTTGGAAATTGTCCATACATCTATGAATCGCTGGAACGTGGTTGTTGCCACGGGATTGATATTATCCGGGAATTGGGGGATGTTGCACTGACTGCTATATCAAAGGGTGCTGTAATCTGCGGAACGAAACATCAGGGCTTGGTACGCTCCCGTATTTCCAGATACAGTTATGGATACTTCTTAGACAAGCCGTTCCATGAGGGGACCCATCATTTCGAGGACAGGTTCCATGATATCACGAACAATTGTACCATGGCCAAAGACCAGATAGAATGGGTCTTAAAACGGGTGAGTTACAACAATGTACCCATCCTCACGATATGTCCTGCATCTGCTGACTATTTGAAAGGGAGATATTATTGAAACGCAAGGCAAAATGGTGTTGCAATATTACCGACGCTTTAATATTCAGATCCGAGGAGTCCAAACTATCTACGAGACAATCTACCAATCAAGAAATGCCCAACCTTCGGCTAGAATGGTAGACCTCTTGAAGGAGGAAGATTTCGAGATAGCGAAACAAGTTATGATACAAACGCCATGCGCAGTTGAGCATCTACCTAGGGTCAAGGAGGGAGGGGTAGACTGGTTCCTCTTCGTTTATGGCCTTGAGGTCGAAGTGGTTGGTGCATCGGTTTTGTTCTCTGCTAGGTAACTTGTGTTTTCTTGAGCTCTCGATAGTAATGCGATTTGATTTTTGCGATACGCCTTAGACTAAGGTGCTGTGGTTGGAGAGCACGTGACTGACAAGACCAATGATCCTAGGAGGTACCTAAGGTACATATTTCCGTACTACGAAGTACAGGTACCTACTTACATATGTACATTTGAATATTACATAATACAATCACGTTATACTGATACATGCAGTGAACGGAATAATGCTCGTATCGAGTACTTGTGGGGTAAATTTAGTACTTTCACTTAGCTAATACTTGACTTTTAAGTTCCTCGCCACCAGCCCACCTTACCTACTACGTGTATCCTTATCGTCCAACCGACATTTTAATCTACCAGGTACCCAGATCTCAAGGTCCCAGGATACGCACATCAAAACTCTTCCTTCTTCCCGTTTACCGATTCGGTAACTACGAGCTGTCGACCTTTATGGTTCTCTACTCTCGGATATTAGATCGCCTCCGTCTCTCATTACCGGCATGAGCGGACGGCTGATAGCAGCGGTCGGGCGTCTCCCGGCGACACGCCCGGCCATGGTTCGAGCCATACGCCAATATCATCACCTACCTTCATGTGGTATCCTCCGAGCTGATGCTGCCGTACGTGCAACGCGGCGGCGGATGTGGCCTCCGGTAAATTCGTTCCATCACGCCGTCATCGTTCGCAATGCGTCCTTTGCGCGATTCTTACCTCGACTGGTGGTCAAGTTTGTAAGGATTCCTGCTATGGCAGGTGGAGTGATGATAGGTGGTCTGGCCTGGATTCAGTACCAAGCCACACGTATGTCGACCTAAATCCTACCCTGTACACTCGTCTAAGAGACTCAGCTAACATGAAACCTAGAGGCTGGGAACTATGCCTGGGACATAATTTATACGACGAAAGACACAGTTACGAACACAGCGATGGGCTTTCTGGATGGCGCGAGAGATATTGCTGACCAGACGAAGCGAGGGTGGCAAAATACGAAAGATAAAGTTGAGCTGCCGGAGTGGATGCAGAAGATTCTCAGATCACAGGAAGAGATAGGCACTGGGAAGCAAGGTGGTGGATCGGGTGGCGAGGAGCCTCCGAAGCAGAGCAGGGCGGGCGCCGCAGTTGCGGCAGCTGCAAGCGCTGCCGCGTACGGCTACGAGCAGTCATCTGACGATGACCGTAGTGCAGATGCAATGGCCAAGGATGACCAAATGATGGTGCTCACAAAGAAGATGATCGAAATCCGAAACATTCTGTCAAGAGTTGGACAATCTAGTACGCTCACTCTACCCTCCATTGTTGTCATCGGATCGCAGTCGTCCGGGAAGAGCTCCGTGTTAGAAGCTATCGTGGGGCACGAATTCTTACCAAAAGGAATAAATATGGTCACACGGAGGCCAATCGAGCTTACCCTAATCAACACCCCCGACTCGACTGCTGAATACGGTGAATTTCCGGATCTGGGCCTTGGAAAGATCTCCGACTTCTCCTCTATCCAGCGAACTCTGACGGAATTAAACCAGGCTGTTCCAGACAGCCAATGCGTGTCGGACGACCCAATTCGGCTTTCCATTTCGTCGCCAAATATTCCGGATCTATCACTTATCGACCTTCCTGGCTATATCCAAGTTGTGGGGCAAAACCAGCCCCTCGAACTTAAGCAGAGGATATCAGAGCTTTGTGACAAATATATACAACCACCTAACGTTATCTTGGCTATTTCGGCTGCCGATGTTGATTTAGCTAACTCGACGGCCCTCCGAGCTAGTAGACGGGTCGACCCCCGGGGTGAACGGACAATAGGTGTTATTACGAAGATGGATCTTATCGATCCTTCCCGGGGAGCATCCCTTCTAGGTGATAAGCAGTACCCGCTTCGCCTCGGCTACATTGGAGTCATCTCTCGTGTGCCGTCAACGTCCGGCTTATTCAAGAAGGGCAACACAAATTTAACATCTACTATCACTCGAAACGAAAATAATTTTTTCTCTGCTCACCCAACGGAATTTGGTCCTGGCTCGGATCTCCAGGTTGGGACTTCAACGCTACGCAAGAAGCTTATGCACGTCCTAGAACAGACCATGTCGGCTAGTCTACAGTCGACAAGTGATTCCATACGGCAAGAGCTAGAAGAAGCGACTTATGAGTTTAAGGTCCAGTACAATGACAGACCATTATCTGCCGAGTCATATTTGGCCGAGAGTCTCGATGCTTTCAAACACTCTTTTAAGCAATTTACCGAAGAATTTGGTCGTCCTGAAATGCATACCCTCCTGAAGAACGAGCTTGATCAACGAATGCTTGACTTATTAGCTGCGAGGTATTGGAACAAGCCTATCTACGATTTAAGTGCCCCCATCGCCGAGCCTAATAACCTTGCCGATCTTCCCAAAGCAGATCCCAACTCCCTTTACTGGCGAAGACAACTCGACGCTTCCACCTCTGCACTTACGAAACTTGGCGTTGGTAGACTAGCCACCAACGTGGTAGCAAGCTCGATCCAATCACACATTGACGCTCTAATCAGCCAATCTACTTTCGTAAACCATCCATATGCACGGCAGGCTATCACAGAAGCCGCTTCGAGTATTTTAAATGACCGGTTTTATAGTACTAGTGATCAGGTTGAAAATTGTATCAAGCCTTTCAAGTTCGAGATCGACATGGAAGAACGGGAGTGGACTACAGGTAGGGAACACGTTCAAGGTGTGCTGAAGAAGGAACTGTCTGCGTGTGAAGGTGCCATGAAAGATCTCGAGACAGTAGTTGGTGGGCGGAGAAAACTAAGGGAAGTTGTCAACTTTGTCGACAAGGCTAGGAAAGGCGATGTGGTCGTTGAGGGCGACAGCCGCAGCGGTGCAGGAGGCTTTAGCGCTGAGCTACTTGCGAAAGGTTTGATCTTATCAGCCTTTGCACATCGGGAATAACTCGCTAACATTTTTCCAGGTCGAGAAGCCGTTTTCTTACGTGACCGCGCCGATATTATCAAGATGCGGATGCTTGCAGTGAAGTCAAAGCAATGCGCTAATATGAAGAATAAATACCACTGCCCTGAAGTCTTTTTGGACGCAGTGGCTTCGAAACTTGCGTCAACGGCCGTACTTTTCCTTAACGTGGAGCTACTCTCTGAATTCTACTACAACTTTCCGCGAGAGCTAGACTTACGACTTGGACGTCACCTATCGGACGAGGAAGTGGAAAGGTTTGCCAAGGAAGACCCTAAGATCAAGAAGCACCTAGAAGTCATAAGGCGTAAGGAGCTTCTCGAACTGGTACTCGAGAAGATGGATAGCCTAAGGCAGCTCGAAGGTATAGAAAGAGAGCGTTCAAGGACAAATATAAAGAAGGGCGGCGAGAAAGAACGTGGGCGATGGGGGCTATTTTGAGCTATTAAAATCTCTAGTTATTACTAACGAATTATCACGATATGGAAAGGAGTTAAAAAAAAGAGTTGTCTCAGCGCCTATTGCTTGCCCAGATATCCCTTTTAAATCCCAGCTCGATGGTTGGCTTTCTGGCAACATGTGTGTGGTTTTACATAGATTTGATCACCCCTTTTCTAAGACAGCTATATTTGATACACGATTATCAGTACTGGTGTTCTGCTTTGTGTTCCAGAAGTTTGTCTCGTGAACATGACCATGCCTAAGCCACATACATAAATCATATAGAGGAATACAAATGAGAAAACATCATTGTAGCAATCTCAATATGTGATACAGCGATAAATAAACACTGTCTCCTAATATTATCGTACGAGAGCAATATATGGTCTACTCTAGGCAATTTTACATATCTCGACGAGACACTCGCTCACAGATCTACATATTCCAAGAGATTCATCTACGTATACATCCCGTTCTCTCACCATCTAGGTAGCTTATGCGAGATCGTACTCGGAAATTAATTTTTCGGCACATGCTATACCGGTGAGATAAGCAACACATTGGACGTGGCAGCTCGCGAGGACAGGGACTACGCTCATATCTGCAACGCGTAGGCCCTCGAAACCAATAAGGCGAAAATTGTTATCTACGGCCGCATCGGCAGAGCCAGGACGGCCCATCTTTACGGTGCCGGTCATGTGCCACTTTGAGAAGGGTTAGTAATTACTCCCTTTTAATAAGAGATGTATGAAGTGTAGGGCTGTCTCGGGAGTAAAAGCTTTTCTTTTTGTCATATAGTTTAGGAGGTCTTGATTTGACCCCGAGATAGGGGTATATGGAAAGGGGTACGTTATGTTACTCACGCTTGATCCTATTGTCTGGCGCCAATATTCAAGTAAGTCTGCGTCCGAGTCGCTTGCTGGCCCTGTAATCGTCGACACGTTATCTCGTGCATAACCCTCTGACCGCACGAACCGCAGCACATCACGCAGCCCCTCGATAGCGGCACGCCGATCGAACGCTGTTGCTAGGAACTTGGGGTCTATCCGCAGCGCTGCGTCCGGATCTGCCGACTGGAGAGTGACCTCGCCGCGGCTCTGCGCATTGAATAGGAAGACTAGGAGCGCTGAGTAGTTCAGGGCCGAGTCGGGGAAGTCTGGCACAAACCAGTGGAGCGGGAAGTGACTTAGCAGCTCGTAGTGAGGCACCGTAGGGTCGTTGATGAGGTCCTTTTCGCTAGCAGGTAGGTCCTGGAACTCCTGAGATGCGAGGAGCTTGTCTAGCTTGAACCACCCAATGGGCAATTGACAAGCATACTTGGCCCAAGGACCCGAACCGTCTTTCTTCCACTGCTCCAGAGCGTCGGCCATGGCTTTCTTGTCCCCGTAAAAAGAGGCCCGGTCCGTGGTCCCTTCGGCTCGTGTGTAGGCTAGGGGAATGAACATGTGATCACGCAGGCCCTGGCCGATTGCTGGGACATCTTTGACTACAGGTATCCCGTACTTTTCCAGCTGTGTTCTGGGGCCAATACCGGAGTGCATTAGGATCTTCGGGTCGTTGGCTGAACCTGCTGAGAGAATAACTTCCTTGGAAGCCAGGTCTAACATCACTATTAGTACGCTATACCTACCTCTTATGACCATTGACTCGGATCTCTCTACAAATCAGACTCACAACGCTTGCCATTCGAATCAACTCCAACGGCCCTATTTCCTTCCAGTATGAGCCGCTGGACCGGAGACTCAGTAATAATTGTTAAATTTTCCGGGGCCAGCGTGAACAAGTCCGCCGCCGTAGACCGGACCCCCTTGCTAGACGAGTTGATCCCAAGAGAGAAGCCGATCGGGTTACCCGAGTTGTGGTCCGGGTTCAAGGGGTACCCCACCTTTTCGAAGGCATCAAGTAGGGGCGCTATATCCTTCTCCGCCTCGGCCACGTAACCCGTCTTCAGAGGCCCCGAACTGCCGTGGTCTTCGGCTTTCGGCGCAGCATACCGGCTATCGATTCCCGGCGGCAGTGTCCGGTCGAAGGACTCCAGACTTTTGAACCGGCGCTGCATGTGAGCCCAGTTGAACGCATCGTCCCCCACGATGCGTGACCACTCGTCGTAGTCGCGGCTTGCTCCCACGGTGAATACGCTGAAGTTAACAGCGCTTGAGCCGCCGAGTCCTAAGCCTCGCGAGTAATCGAGCTCTCGGTTATTGCAGAACTCCTGGGGCACCGTCTTGTAGCCCCAGTTCAGGGCCTCGTTCCGGAATGTTGTCCACCGCTGCCCGTCGATACGCAGGTCTTTGTCGTCGTTCTTACCGCCGGCTTCGAGGAGCAACACCTTGGGCTTCTTTGCCGACTTCGCGAGCCAGGCTGCGACAGCACTGCCTGCTGGTCCACCTATGCGATACTGTCAACATATCGAAGGGGTTTATGCTACGGGTAGCTTAGTTCGAGCGGACTTACTACCAACGATTACAAAGTCATAGGTTGATGCCATAATATCATAATCCCTAGGTGAAGCTTGTGTATTCTATGTAGAGAAGGTCGTATTGATGAGACTCTGATAATGGAATACTAGCTTTATATAGACAAAGAGAGACGGAGTGCGGAATAAAGTGGGTTGGATTTGCGATGATCGTCCAACCACTACCCATCAACTTTCATAGCGATACTTATTTCGAAGCGGCTTAGTTAGAGCCAAGCTATTGGGGCATCGTGGCTCGTAATATTTTAGTACTGAAACATAATACGGCTTCAGCAATATGCATTTTGCCGATTCAAGATCGGGATTTGATATCATTGTACGAATATTCTTAGATCTTGCACGAAACATAGTTCTGATAGATCGATGCTGGATTCTAGATTAGGAATTATCCATTAAATCTATGGTCTAATCTGAAGCTACCGGGACACCGAGCTATATAAAGTATAAGAATCCTAGCCTGGGTTGGTTTGATTCATGCAGCAGCGGAGGCATTGAGTCGTCCAGTGCCTAACGAGAATGCCAATGTGTTCTATTATTACTTAGAGATGCTTTCGCCGCAAACAGCGTCATCAGAAATAATACTCATTAGGATAAGCACCAATTGTATAACAAAGAGCGTCACCAAATAATTTACTACCCGTCAAGGCAGACCGATAAGCTAGCATGATACGGTAGTAATAAGCATCATAGACCTTATCAGCTACGAATTAACACATGGAGGGGTATTTGAAGTATATAACCATGATACTCATCGTCTAGTCCTAGTTCCTAGAGGTCCGGTTGGCGGTGTCGTATTATTATACCTGTGGCATGTCCCCCAGAAAACATAACTCTGTCATAAAGGTCTAAAGGACGTTGACATCGGGTTTTCCGAGCATATGTCATAGACGCCGGGTTATTGTCCGGATGAAAAGTAATTACGCGTGGAGACCCCACCAAATAATCGAAGGATTAACAAAACCTGCGTAGTGAGTTCAACTAAATTATGCAGGTTGGACCTCAGTCCCACTACTTTTGCGTTGGGGAGTACGTGTTGCTCGTCAAGGTAAGATAGTATGCATGCAGAGGTAGTAATGAACCATTAGGAGAGCTGCTATGGCACTGTTATCTTCAGGGGTATCACATATGTTTCCTTATATTGGTCGTGCTCGCGCCAGCATACTTGCGACTATTATCTCACGGGTGACCAATTCGGGGATTCTATTGGGGGAATCATCGTATCTGCGGGAATAGACTTACTATAGCTAAGTAAGAATGGAAGTACAAGGAATAAAATGGAAGTAATGAAAGAACGCAATTAGTACATTATAGTGCTGTGAATCTGGATAAAAGCGGTAGAGATAGCGGCATCTCTGATGTCTGTGATGTAAAGTCTCTTAGGTAATTAGATATGAAATGGAATAGGAGAAGAAACTAGAGACGAAGCCGTCACATTCTCCTAGAATGTTATGTTGAAAGGGGTAGCCACGGAACTACATATAGCATGCACCTATTGCTTAAGGAACTTTGATATTCACTAAAGGTATACCTAGGGCCTATATCAGTCTATACATATGTTTCGAGTAGGTATGTGTATACTTTCACCGAAACTGACGCTGTCAAAAGAGTATAGGGCAGATCTCAAAAATAATGTGCCACCTTGAACTTGGTTGCAAGGAGACTATATATGTCACTTGCATGCAATCTTGTAAGATAAGGATAAACATGGAAGCCTGCTATATCGGGAATAAGATTATATTGGAGGAATATAACTAATCTTGATATTGGCAGTAGACTTCGGTCAATTAGCTTCCATATGACTAACTTATCCGTGTTCCAGCCTGCTTCTCTTTTATTGATAATATATCGCGATACAAGTACATTCTGAAGGGTTGAACACGTACCGACTCCGTTATATTGAGATTCCATGGTGTCATATGAACTATAAGAGCGAGAGGATAGTGCTTATTAACCGTTACTATAAAGTGCTACCACGTACGTACATATGTACCTATTTTCCCTATAACTTTACCTATTCAGTTACATATATCTGGTAATACCCTATGGATGTATCACTTGTCACATTATGTGCCTACCTCGGTACCTACTTATCAAGAGCAACCTATACACGCGTAGGTGTGATATATTACTTTAGAGTCCGCGTAAACCACAGGGATACAGGGATCCAAGGGTTAGTATACACGATAGACATGCTATCAAGCAGTTCCACAATAAAATAGTATCATCTGCGCGAAATAGCTTTCGATTCGCACTTTTAAAGAAACTTACTGTCATATTATATTCCTTTCATGTACGCCTAAGGATTCACTTATTAGCTATAATACAGTCAACCAACCCTTTCACACGAATGACTACCTCCCAACCTACCATCTTTGTCTTGTCTATATACAACTCTATATGAGACCATCACACTGCGTATATATGCCAGACAAATGCAAGTTAGCGAGTTCCACGAGTCAGATAATAACTTGATCTGACTTGGGCCTGGCCTAACTTAGCCTGGATAGATCCTTTTTTAGGGATATCTATCCGAGTCGAGCTCTAAAAGAATTTTATTTGGTATTTTATACGAATACTTTTAAGGCAATATTATTGGTTGTTGGTAAAAGTTTTAGGTAAAATATATTAGGTAGCTGATATGGCTAAGTGTGGCTTTATAAGGGCATACAGGCCAAATCGACGATACGGCTAGGTAAGCCTCAAATCTAATATATCTGACCTGACTCGTGGAACTCGCTGATGCAAATTAGCCCGGCAAAATGGTAGCTTGATGACTCGTGCCATAATCAGACGTAGGCTAGCACTGTAGTAGATTTGCCTTCCAAAGGGATCATCGTTAACTAAAAGATATACGTCACGTCGGGGTTGGCAGCTACGGCTAAGTGACATGGTATAAAGAGGATTCAGACTTGTTGAAGAGATGTGTATTTCAAATGATAGGTATGAACGAATAGAAATAGAAGAAAAGGGGTTCAGGGGCTTCACTTACGTAATAATAGGTTAGGTAAGTTACCTTGTAACCCATTAACACCAGTCTCCGTCTCGTACCGTCGAATTAAACATTTACTAAAAGCATTAACAACGGTAATATGTTTGTAGTCGATAATAGCCACCAAGCATTCGCAAAGTATTAATATAAGGCAGAACGTAAATGCGAGTTTATTATTGGGTATGGAATTAGCAGTCAACTTTTGCTACAATGCTACACGCACCAAACCGCTCTTCTAAAAAAACACAACAGCCAGAAACGCCTTGCTGTTCCAGGTCCCTTTTGATGTCATTCTTACCAGTTGCGGAACATGAAATCTATGTTGACACTACCCCCGTCATGATGCGAAACGTCAAGCAAACACTATTTAGAAAATCCGGCCAGATACCACTGAGAAATCTCTTTACTAAAGAGCCATCCCGAGGACGCGAGCTGCCTTCTCTGATGTGGTATAGTCAGGGCCTCTCGATACGGAACTTGGCACCGGGCTATCCGGCATCGGCAACTCTATATCGACTTGGTGATCGGCAGGGTGAGGTTGTTCTCCGATATTAAGCGAACGCCTCTTCTTCTTGATATTACCCTGCGAGGGAAGTTTGTTACCAAGATCTGGACGTGGCTCTGTGCGAGGCCGGGGTTCACTTGGAGGAGCACGTATATCGGATGGGGCGGAGGCCGACTCAGAGTATGCAAGTGGTGTCTTGTTTCGAATTGGTAACGATGGACCTTCTGGTGTTCGACTTCGTCCGATACCGGCAGGGATTAATGGAGCAAGAATGCGCTTGTGACTGTCAAGATCGATACTCGGCGTGGGTAAAGGACTGGTAACGCGGGGAGCTGCCTTCTCGTTGGTGGTAAGACCCTTCGTTTGTGCAAACGCCGAGGAACGCTTGTGATACGGATCGCGGTCTGAATATGCGTCGATGATTGGGTTTACCATTACAGTCTGGCCGTGAATGGTCAAAATGGAGTTGGTGGGAACATTGACCCAATTTTCTAGTATTCTGTTAGCAAAGTCGATACGGTAAGGGTGAGAGTAGTGAGAGTAGTGAGAGTAGTGAGAGTAGTGAGAGTAGTGAGAGTAGGACAGCCACGTACCTCGTTCGAATGTCAGAGGCTCGCTAGCTACAAGAACGATATCTGCTCCTTTATCGCGGCGTTCCATCTGGTAATCTCGATCGTTCGGAGCAGACAGATTGGTCTCCCATTGGGTACCCGAAGAATAGTACAAGCTTGCTGCCTCGTCAGTCTTGCTGCTCACGTATCTCGTGCAGATGATGCTATGTCCGTCCGTCACTGCGAAGTTTAACAGGCTTCGAGTGTCCACATTCTCGCTCTGAATGGTGCTCTCTGGTATAGCCATAGTAAGCTCGTTGATAATCTCGATTGTTTGCAAGAGGGCTCTTCGTAGAACACCTGGCCCAAAGCCATTCTTGGGTTCTGAACTCGGGTTGACGCCCAGACGCTCGAGGCGGTCGAGGAATAGTGCGAATGCCCACTCGCTATCAGTTCCGCCTTGTACGCAAAGGTACCACTTGTCGTGTAATCGTTCACCTAGCTTTCTCTTGATATGTTTCCAGCCTCCTAAACCTCCATTGTGCATCCACATCAAACTCCCATGGCAGAAGGGGTGGCAGTTATCCTCGCTTAGGGATCCTTCGGTGGTTGCTCGAACGTGTGCGAAGACGAGTCTTGATGCCGTCTTGGAAGCGATACGATGGAGATTGGTGCAGTTCCAAGCGGGAATGGTTGAAGTAAAGAGACAAGGAGCGGGACCGAGTTTCGGGTCGGTATAAAAGCCGATTCCAAAGCCATCTGCATTATTCTGGCCGCGTCGCGTGTCCTGTAGGATAAAGATCGCAATTTTAGTTTAGTTAATAGGTCATCGACTATTAGAATAACTCACCAATCTAAGCCGAGAGTCAAACGATTGCTTAAGGATAGAGTGCGTCGGGTCTAGAATCAACTTTGAGAGCAGGATCTCGTCGCTGCCTCGATAGACCTAAAGTAGAGTATTAGCTTGGAGTCCTCATAATTCACGCGACCGGCCAGGAGGGAATAGTACCAAAAAGCGACACATCTTCCTCGACTAGAAGATGGTTAACGTAAAGGTAAGAAAAGAAGGTTTCGCCGTTATCATATAATTACCCAATAGGTTTAGGTAGGAAATAAATCGTGGAACTAATCTTTTGAGTGAATTGTGAACACGTCTTCCGTGACCGCTGCTTGCTTGCCACTTTTTACTTTTTTCTTATCTTTTTTTCCGCGTCTCAGTCATCGAGGAATGTGGCGTGCCTATATTACTCAATTGCGATATTCCAGATTAAGAGTGACGGAATGATAAAGTGCAAAGTGGGCGGCAGTGGCACTGAGGCGGCGGCAAGACGGCAGCTGGAAAATTCATGGGTCTAGGCTCTTGCTACCTAATGTACCTAGGTTAATGTATTGAACATTCGGGGTCTTTCCTTCATCCCCTGTCTAGTTCATCCCCCATCGGTAGGCTAGCAGCCCAAGTGTACCTAAGGTACCTATTACGTAGGGTACAGGGCTAGCCTGGGTGAAGGCAGTTGGCAGCTGCAGCTGTCCGGGGTAATTAACACAGCTGTCCTAAACATAAATCTGGGGCTAATTACCCTCAACCAATCATATACCCTTTGATGTTCTGAAAAGGGGATTCTCATTTCTATCTATTTTCCACCGTAACGTATTGTTTGTGTTTACTTGCCCGTGTCACACAGGTAAGTATTCAGATTGTTTCAGATGCAAAAATGTAGTACTTTAGGTATCAATATTACTTCCATCATCCTTAAACTACTTTAGTGAAGCTTTAGCTCCAATGTAGGATAACGCCTGTTTAACAACATCTAGGGCATATCCTAAATGAGGTATCTTAACGGCTGATCTGTATGTTTGCTTATCTCTTAGCCTGGCACCAGTATCCGGGTCGTATCCGTTTTTTCAGTCACTACCTTCTAGTTGCTTCATATATTGCACGGGTTATTACAGGAATAAGTCATTGCTATATTTCAATACAGAAAGAATAGAAGCCACGAGGTCTCCGGGGAATCCCCTGGAAAACAAGGCAGAAGAATAACAAAGACAATGTCTTAGATACCTTAGGTAGTTAAGTCGGGGATTAACATATTTCTAGACCACCCAATCATATACGCAGTCATATCTTTATACTGATTTTCCTGCTAGTTCTGTTAGCTGCCTTTTTTCACATCAGGTTGATCTAGCGGCTTAGCAAAGTGAAATTAGCAATAAAAATATCCCTGGGGCTCTTCTAGTATATATAGCCCAACTAATTCTTGTTGGGCATGGATATCAAGACTAATCTATGATTCAGCAGCTAGCTCTAACAGTTTTAGATTATTATGAAATCAGGGTCTTATTAATTTCAATGAGCATACATCATGGCTTTTGAGCTTCAAAGAGAGAGTCCCTTGTGTTGAAAGATCTTTGCATGGCCTTCCGCTCGCCTTGTTCTGCATCACGTACGCAATTTCCAATCCAGAACCAAAGTGCATTAAAGGTGTAGATACCCCATCCTTTACTTAAACCAACTTTTGTTGTTAGTATCGTGTAACGACGTTGACAACAAGTGAACCAACATGTTGAAAACCCCTTTCTATGAAGATGAAACTTTTCTCCATTCTTTCAACCCTGGCAACCAAGAAGTTCGACAATGTACTCTCTAATCAAGCGACCATTAATTCGTCAGCCTCTTCGCATAACCCCTAATTCACTTTCATTTCAGTCGAATCGTCTTCAACGATGAATATCACCGTCTCTGTCAATTCCCAATAAGTAAAACGAATGCATTAACAACTTATATTCTCGCAACCTCTACAATCACCCCAAATAACGTTTTCTTTAAGGCGGCTCGGTAAGCTTCGAATAACCCCAATAGAATACGCTCAAGTTTGAAGACTTTAAATAGCAATTCGGCCTATACTCGATGAGGTTTGATATTACTCGCCTATCATAGGCCTAGTCCAATCTTCGACGACCATCGCCTCTCTCAAGAAGCGAATCCTCCTCACTATTCTTTACTGAACTGTCGTCACGGTAGAGTATGTAGTGCTGAGTCATGAACACTAGATCATAGAGCATGCTGACATTTCCCAGCCCAAACTTGACTGGGTTGCCTGTGACTCCAGACCAGTCGCCCTGTAGCCAAGAATCGATCATCAACTGTGCGATACTCAACATACCACCCAGAAAATCCAGCAGTATCTGCCAGATGCTCCACCCTTCTGTGCTGTGATTCTTGAAGTTGTACACCAGCTGCGGTGCATATTTAACAAGAGTGATAAGCAGTTTGACGTACGAGATCGTATAGATAACGTCTAGCCATGCCCACGAAGTCTTAGGGTTTGCATCTGAAGGCGTGGATAGCACCACGAGGATCATGATAGCAACAGCGACAAACGACCCGCTCGCAACACCCAATATGAGCCGAGATGGGCGAGTGCCAGGGGCACGATCAAACCCCCAGAGAGCAGGTAAGAAGTACTGAGTAGTTAAGATGGAACAGACAACAAATGCATGAGCAGCAAAGACAATATCGTTAACTGCGACAGTTGGTGTGTGGTCATTATTTCGTAAAGCATACTGATGTCGGATAACTGAAGATGAGTAGAATACAGCATTATAGATGAGATAGGCGAGGAAGCCTATGAAGTATTAGGAGATGATACTAGGAGGTAGTATTGAATTAGACAAGACGCGATAAACTTACCAAGGGTGTTGATAAACGGGAAATCTACGGTGGTTCCGGAGGTTGATTTCCTCCGAATATTTAGTAGTGGTTGCGAATAGAATGATAACGACCACGATAGCGTATATATCCACCCGAACAGAGCGGATATGAATTCGAGGAAGCCCATGATGTTTTATGGGTTAAAATACGCTTGGCGCGGAGAAAGATGCCCTATGGTGTTTCTGAAGGTTGGCTTATTATTCAGAACGAACTATTCGGAACTATGACGCAGTGATTGGGGCCATCCGAGATAACCTCTCAATTTCGCATGTAGACGCCCATATATACCATATATCAAGAGGTTAAATAAATCGCAGCGTGGTAAAATTTCAAGGCGGTGCTATAATACCTACGTCCCAAGTTTCTACAAGTGAATGTTTTGCGAGGTAAAATGAGATGAGTCAAGATTCGAGAAACGAAGTTATCGAAATCCATAAGCAGAATTGCGCCATTCCATGTACTTCGTACTAAAGTTCTGATTATATAATTATTCCTTTAACGGGTCACGCGATAAATCCTTATCTTCCATAGAACGACACGTGACTCCGCGGGGTCCTTAACGCGCCCCCCTATCCAAGCCCTCAACCAAATCGGAATTCAAAAGTATCTCACAGTTGAGACCCGAGCTGTCAAGAGTTTGGTACTATTTCTTTTCTTCGATTGCCATAATACATCAGCATGTCAAAATCTCTGGAACATGTTCCTTTCCGGTCCCGGCTCCTGCATTACAATTTACGATCGGAATTGTTCTCTAGCGAGGGACGGCTGCTTCTGTCGGGAATCTCGTTCTGCCGTTTAAACTCGTGTTGCGCAATGCTTTCATTTTCTTTACTTGACCTCTCACTAATGGATTCCCATCTGGAAGCGTCACTATAGTCCGAGGTACGAAGTCACTGTATTGGCATGTCAGTCCCAGTTATTGATATGATTATTGTAACCATACCCACCGATGACCAGAGTGAGCTCTCGCTTTAAAAAGAAACATTGGACTATATTATAGTATCTTTCTTAAATAGTCGGTATGAAACTGATCAAAATAGTAGCTTTATATCAATTTTCTTGAAACATGCGTGTGTAAGACAAGCGAGACTCGTGAAAGGTGTGGGTGGTCTTATAGGTTGGTGTTAATTGGAAGATAGGCCAACCAGTTTTACCTTATCGACTCCCCTAAATACGTAGATCGCAAACTAACCATAAACATATCTCGAAGGAACACTGCCGCCTATGCGGTGAACCACTTGCATATAGAACCCTTCCATCTACTCCTCGTATTGAAATCTTTGGACCAAATTACCCAGTAAAAGAACACTTCTCGATGTATGGTCTAGAAACCTGTGACTCGGGTTTGAAACGTATTCTGACGTGTGGTCGGATGACTACTGTTACTATATCTAAACACCCATCACCCTCGAATTTCGAGTATAAACAGAGACCTAAGGTAGAACAGCCCGATTAGAAGCCAAAGAAAGAGTGACACATCATCGGAATCAGCATGATGATGATGAAAACGTTTACGTCTATTGGTTTGCTATGTGCTACCTAGGTAGATACAGCGGCGCATCTTTGGCGCTTAAGACGTCTAGAGTACTCCCCGGGGGGGATAGAGCTAGAATATCGCCTGACGTAAGAAATAAAAACATCGGAATCAGCAGAGGATTAAACAGTTACTATCCCTTACACTAGTTTCAAAGTGCTTACTTCTGATTCCTAGTTCTACGACTCGATTGATAAATCCACCTGACCGCAATCAGGAATCAGTTAAATAGGGGTAGCGCTATACTGCGGTGGTGAGTGTATGCCTACCCCATTTGAGACCCGGCCTACGAACAAGCCTGTAGGGTAAATCAAAAGATAAGCTAAAAAGTCTTAGGCTTGAGACATCATAGTCTAACCAAGCCACAAGATAGCAATTGCATTGTCGCGCAAGGAGCTACATAATGGTGTCGGGACCAATGATATATATCTTAGGTGCGTAACTTCTCCATCCAAGTCCGTCGGGGTTCCCGGAGTTAGCTTCGTAGCATATTAGACGTCAAAACCTATGCCGATTCTCGGATTTAGGTATGTTTAGGTCTTCTCGCAGGCTGAACCTGTAACACGGAATAGAATGACGATTTCTGTCAAGGCGGTTCGGCTCTAATATTACACAGCAACCCATCGCCTAGAGCCGTTTAAGTACAGAAAAAAGCTCTAAATTGAGTTATCACTATATATCGACGTAGCCTAGACGCAGTAGCCGATTCGGACACCTATGACAAAGCTATCGAAGATGTCGTCTCATGTTCAAGCCAATATCACACGCTCTGACTCTGAAACAGCAAAGTTTGCTACAATAACAATCTACTTGTTGAAATACAGCCCTTTTTTCAAGCCGAACATGTGTTTTTTGATGGCCATATCTTTATGTTTCCTCCCATCGAATGAATGGCAATCGGCTATTCAGTCGCGCGGCTAGGTTGAGGTGAGGTTGGAAGACCATACAAAATGCAGTGATGCGGCTTAAAATGGTGCTACATGGCGTCTAAATAAATTAAACAGGGCGTTATCGCTATAATAAGGGTATATCTGCATGATTACATAGATGTTTGGTAGCCGCGGGACCATACATAAACGCCAGGTAATATTCCTCAAAGGGGTATGCCTTGCCACAATGCAACCTCGCATGTTACCACGTACGAGTCAAATATCTCTTCTGAAAAGTTAGTAAGCTCGCCGCCTTTTAATTCGATATCCTCATAAATATCATCTCAATCCAGAATTCGTGAGGGAACATCTCTTGTCCCGTGTTTATTTGCTATTTATCGGATATTGGACTAGCAGCTATCGAATTGAAATCATTCTTTAATTCGGCTACAGGAAGATAAACGCCATGATATCAGGTAACAGGTAACTAGCTCAAACCCCCAGTTCAAGGGGCCATTGAGAAAGTAACCTTGCTTCGAACCTCTACATATATTCAAATTCTAGGTATAGTCTTCAAGTCAATGCAAGGCATAGGCGTACATTATGTTGCTTATGCCTTGTAATATATAACATTTAATCTTTAAAAGAGGATTTAAGTGTTGATATAACTGTTGAGGATAGTAAATGCGTGGCTGACTACAGTACAATAGCAATAGTAAATAACCTTAGCTCGGGTGCTTCTTTAGACAGCTTCCATAAGCTATTATCTGAATCCATTTTTACTCGAGGCATAATTATTGGCTACAGTGTCTGCCGCCTTATGGACACTTCTGGTCAATAAACGCTGGGGGCCGAGTATAATTCCAAACTGAGTGGCCACACCCCCTACGTTGATTGTCGCAAGAACCACTCCATTAGCCCAATCCAGTAGACCGCAAAATTTTATGAACGAAGTTGTGCATATTCCCATGGTCTAATCGAGCCACCCCTAATTAGGTTCCAGTAACTAACCAGCTGTAAACACGCAGAGGCGGCACTGCAGATGATAAGCGCTGTCCTTATACCTTCCCCTGAGACATAGCGTCTAGTGAGTCGGGCTGCAAATTAGCCGCAACGCTTCATAAATGCACTGAGTAATACACATAAGCGTAATTAGAGATTTCTAGCCTACCCTAAAGACCTCGAATTTTATTAATGTACAGGTATTTAAGAACGCAACTAACTGACTGAGAACCTCCATTTCTGGCGGATCATGCGTCGTCATTATACCACCTTCACATCATGGAGAACCCTTCTCAGGCTGAAAGGGGTAATGCCCCTATGTTTACCCAACATCCCGAAATTGCAGGTACCACCCCAATAAGGCTCTCTAAAGCTAAAGGTGGTTCGTTTCCTCTTATTATGATACATCCAAGTTTACTAATAATAGCTATAGAGAGTTCCGACGATACAGTAAATAATACAAATAGGACCATCAGGTCTAAAGAAATGTGTAAGCATACCTACCTACGGTACCTAATGTCCTTAGCTATCCTAACTTGCCTCTAAACCGCTCGAGGGTTGGGCTCGGACCGCCGTCTTGCAGGGCCTATCGCATAACATGAGCCACCATAGGCGGTACGATGTACTTTGGCATCGACTCCTACTGAATGAACAGAGCGAAATTACCAGCATGGAGGAATCATTGAAGCACTTACATGAAATCGACGAAGGACTCAGTTCCTAGATGGAAGGTCAAGAGTTTGATAAAAACTACATCCAGTTTTCATCAATTTGCCACCCGCACTACAAGCATACTCCTCATTTCAACGAACCTAAGCCCGGCGAATCTTACAATAATAAAGAGTCAGTTGCTGATCTTACATCCAAGACGCCTGTAGAAAAAGCGTGCCAGCACAAGCCATGAAAGAAGAACTCAAGGATAAAGCCATAGAGGTACTTTTCAGCAGTCTTAAGCGCTATTGTAAGTTATCAAGCTTATTTCACACACTAAAGCCCGAGAACTTGCTACGGGGCAAGAATTGGAAGTTCATCACATTCCAAGATGACTTTTTGAGTACGCGGAACGAACGAGCTGACCAAACTTTTGCCGCTCTCGTACACGGCAACTCTCCCCTTGCTGTATGTTCTATACACCCCTAAGTGCGGAATAAAAGTACGGAATAAAATTTGTAGAAATGTTCTAACTTTACCTAGAGACTATTTCGATGGGGTTTCAAGACCACAGAATATAGGAGCTCGAGTCGCCTTCTTGCATACGGTAAGGATGGAATCATTCGAGAAATACCTTCTTGCTATGACGAGCGGTCTCATCTTAATGATACCTGTCGGGATCTCGTTCCTTCGGCCAATGGATAAATAGAAATCTCTAGCAGTGGTAGTCAGTTTCGACGTAGCATTTATCTTTGTCGTGGTTCTCCTAGACAAGAAGCTTGACAAAAATGCTTATCGGCTTCTCAGCCTACTCGGCCGTCTTGGTCATGTACAGTTCCTGCAGTAGCTGGTAACAATCTCATTCTTAATTTCGCTAATGTTTTCTATTTATAGGTTTTTGTCAAACCTACAAGACAAGAACGCTTGCCAATGTTAGGGTTTATTTCAAGAGGATGACGGATAGTGTGTTGAATAGGAGCTTCGCTATGAGTGGTCAAGTTGCCTCGAAAATATGTATGTAACTTATTATTCGCACTCATAACCCCTTTAATGGCGACACATAAACATGATTGGGTGACCTAAGCCGTACCCTGCGTCCAAGGCGACTTGTGTGAGAGGTACTCCATACATCACGACCCCCTGCAGGGACGTCACAAACTGGAGTACATTATATTTCAGTCACCTTACTTTCTTCGGGGCCTTCTTCGGCGCAGGCCTGAAAGGACGCGAGACTCGATAGATTCCATATTCGTATACTTCTAGCAAGGGAAGCTACCTAAGCTAGGCTCGTCAGTCAATTTTGAAATGTTTACTGCTATCACAAGGAGCCCGAGTTAAGTACATGTAGAATATAGCATTTGATATATATATTGTTT